AGAGAACCCACGCAAACACGGGGAGAACATGCAAACTCCACACAGAAAGACCCCGGCCTGATGGTGGAATTGAACTCAGGACCTTCTTGCTGTGAGGCAACAGTGCTAACCACCGTGCCATCGTGCTGCTCAGCTGAAATTTTAGTAAAAAAACAAAAAAACAAGACAAGACAAAACAAAACACAAAAAAAATCCACCTCTTTGTCCAATGCTTTGCTGTTGTCATAGAAAATAAAAGGGCACTAATGCAGTCAGGGAGCCTTATTAGCTTTTAAAACACATTTATATATTTCCATCCAGGAGGAACGAGCCTTCAATAATAATAATAATGATAATAATAAAAAAAAATAAAAAAATAAAAATCACACTGCATCCTACACTACAGTTACACTGTCCTGTGACAAGACTTTGAAAGTGCATGATGAATCTTCTCTGAATATGCTACATCGCTGGTCAAACCAAAGCCCTGCGTGACCGGCTCATTTGGTTTAATGATGGAGGGCAAGAAGGCAGAAGTGGTGTCCCACAGGAAGAAAAAGAGAGAGATAACTGAAGCAATTTTGGATGCTCAGGGCTCTAGAATGTGACCAATTTGGTTGCACATGCGACCTAATTTCTCAATGGTGCAACTAAAAAAAAAAATCCTAGGTCCAACCGGTGCGACCAGCCGTTCAAATAAAAAAAGAAAAAAAAAAAAGTCTCCTAAACTGTGAAAGTCTCTGTGTGGTCAGACACACATTTTGACCATATCGTGGTCTAAACCAGTCAGAGTCAAAATTGAATCGAATCGTACTGATTATATAAATCATTGACAATACCCAGTCCTAGTAAGTAGCCTAGGCTGTGGATGTAGCTGTGGGTAATGAGAAAAGAACGATTTATAACTTTTTTATTAAGTTAAGGCCCGATCCATGTGAAATTCACAGCCAGTGCTCTGACACGGAACCATCAACCTCTCAGGTTATGCCTAACACTGGTCTGGAGACGGCATCAGATAGTGAGCCACATACGATCGACTCCGAGCCAGACCCCACTGAAAGTAAAAGGGGGAAAGTGTATATGTAGTGTATTTCAAAGAGAGTGGTTTGACCCGTTTCCCTGGCTAAGATACAGTAAAGCTGACAACATGATGAACTGCATTTACTGTCATGAGTTTGGAAAGACCATGGCAGTCCTGCTAATACTTTCCAAATCGAAACGCTAAAAACGCACAGTGTATCCTGAAAACACATTATATGATGTGATAAATGCACTACCCAAGTGTCCCCTCTCCCCATGCCTTTTTGCAGCAGGCAGCAGCAAACAGGCCTTCAGAGGAGTCCGAGATGATGATTACGTTTGACATTGCCTACAATATTGCCAAAGAGTGCCAAAGCACTTAAGCACAAGCACTTTTTCAGTAACTTATCTTTCTGGTAGAACTGTGCTCCAAATAAAGAATTACAAATCAATATTGTCTGTATGGACAGAATTTTTTTCAAGTGAACATGTAAAACTGTGGGGTTAAGAGATTCGGTTGAAAAATTTGGATGCACCTCACATTTGTGCTGGTGCACCTAAGAAAAAAGTCTAGAGCCCTGCACTAGGTGGCGTAATATTGCTGCAAACGAAGGTCTTCGTTTTACAACAACCTCTCATGTAAATCGAAACCTTAAATCTAAACGCTGTTGATATGAAAGATAAAACTGAGGACTTGTCCTCGCAGGACCGTCACAGGAGCAGCTCGGTCCTTCCGGTGGTAGTTTGTTTACTGTTAACGAGGCTAACTTTGAAGTTAGCTTGGTTAAGTTAAAGATAGAAAAATAACTGTGCAGTTGGCTTGAGTTAAAGTGCAAAGAGAGTTCGAATGACACGAAAACAAAGATACTACACTTATAAACGTCTGAGCCTTTATAAGTAACATTAAAAGTCAGCACAGTTAGCTTGTGCTTACAGGAGCTGATGACGATTGAGAATAATACTACCAGTATTAAACTGTTAAAATGTTGTTGTTGTTTTTTCAATTTAAAATAAAAATAAAAAATAACCTACCCGTGTTACTGACAGGACAGGCCATTAATTAAGGAGGCTACAGTCGGTTTCGGAACAGCCAAACTTAGCCAGTACTACAGAAACGTCACTCCACGCACAGCGCGGTGTTGACGCAGAATGATGTAGATTTACGCAAGGCATCCTGGGAAACGTAGTATGCACAGAGAAGTACTCCCTTCTTTTTCTTCTTTCGTCTGCTCCCTTTAGGGGTCGCCACAACGGATCATTTGAATCCACCTCATCCTGTCCCTAGCGTCCTCCTCTGTCACACCAGTCCAGCTGTCATTCCTCTTCTCTCCAGAGCATACCATGCAGAACAGGTGTTTGATAAAATAAAGCTCACTTTATTGACATTTTCAGTGCACTCACCATGGGCCCAATAATATCTGTTTATTTATTTCATCATTAGCCTACTTATACAAGAAAAAACTGTGTTTTTCTAAAATCCCTGTAGTCATAAAAGCATTCCCAAAATGTATGCACAGTTCCAACTGTCCTTCATACGGACACTGAGTGTTCTTTTCTTTAAATTCCCTAATGAATTAATACATAGTCAGTGGTTTAGGAATATAGGCTCTTAAGGCTTGCTTTTTTTGCAGTTTTTCAGAGCATCTGCCAGGGCGTGCAGTGCCATGTCAGCATTAGTCTTCTCACAGTTGTATCCCATCAATCCAATCCTCATCACCTAATTAAATGAGAGATGGAAAGCACATTACATGAGTATACTCTGCAGCAATTCAGCAGGATGATTCAGAAAGCTGCTCAGACACCAAAGTGATGACTTTGCTGTTGTTAAAAAGCCATTGTAATTAAACCTGTCACACAGTACCTGGAAATGGTCCTTAAACATTATATCTTTGTTTGTCTGGATTAGTTTGATTCAAGACAAGATATGCATGCTAATTTAAGAGAAAAGGACAACAGGACAGGAAGCTGAAAAGCTAGAACGCCCTGAAACTACTACTACACATCAGAATTAGTTACCACCAATAATAACTGTAAAATTAACTCACCATGCCAATGGAAGGGCCCAGTCCTCCTGTCATCTCCATGTGGTGATGTTTCATGATATATGTCAGCATCTCCCTCCAGTCGTAGCCTTCAGGGATAGCAATGGTGGTGACGGAGGGAAGCCTCAAATCCTGCAGGACACATATAAAAAATGGCTTTCGTCGCAACACAAGGAAAACTGCTCCAGTGAGTTTAAAAGCAACACAAATATAAAGCTAAGTTGTACAGTGTTGTTTTGTTTGTCTCTATTATTTTGTTTCATGTAAATATCCCCTTTATTCTCTCTGTGTATCTATGTTTTCATGGCACCACGATGCTATTTTCTTGCATTTCTGTCTCACTCTTTCGGGGACGAATAGCTTGAGGCCCAGATCCTCCAGTCCTCTGTACAGGTAGGCTGCTACCTCCTTGTGCTTCTTCCAGGACTCCTCCAGCCCCTAGAGGGAGACAAAGATTTATTGTGTTTAGAAATTAATACCTAAAAGGGTAGGGAATTGATCATTGATAGTGTTCCTGTCAGTAATACCAACTCAGAGGTTACTAAACAGACAAGGATGATAACATTTATTTTGTTTGACTGGGATCACTCAGATGCCTGGAGTCTAAAAGATCATGTAACTACCAAAGGAAGCATGCACATTTTGCCTCACATAATTTACTCCATTAGTTAGCACAAACATAAAAGAGAAGGCAGTTCACTCACTAAAATACTGACTGTATAACATACTTTTCAGTTAGATAATTTCAAAAGACAACTCACATCCTCAGTTCTCAAAAAGCTGGGGCACTGTGCATTAATTGGCAACAGATCAGTAACATGATTGGGTATAAAAAGAGCATCTTAGAGAGCAACATATGTTTCCATGGCTTCATATTAGCAGAGCCCTGCAGTCCAGACTTGTGACTAAACATCATGAAACAAAAGACATGACAAAGAAGAGCCAGGACGGTCGAGGAGCTAGAATATGATATTAGACAAAAATGGGGCAGCCTTCCTCATGGTCTCTTTAGTTGTCAGACGCTTATAGGCGGCTTTTAAAAGAAGGGATGCTACACAGTGATAAACAGTACCCTTTCCCAATTTTGTTGAGACATGTTGCTGCCATGAAATTAAAAAATTACCCTCTTTTCATAAAATGGTCCATTTTGTCAGCTTAAACACTTGATATGTTTTCTGTGTTCTGCTGTGAATGAAAAATGGCTTTATGATACTGTAAATCATTGCATTCTGTTTTTATTTGTACTTTGCATAGTTTCCGAAACCTTTTTGGAAATCTGTGTTGTATACAAAGAATAACAGTATCTAGAAATTACAGATTTTTTGTTCAGAAATGTGACTGAAGAAGTTGGGAAATATCCCTTTACCCTCTCAGCAAGAATGGCCAGACTCTCTCTCAGGGCGAAGAATCCAGACACTGGACCGGTGTGGTGGTATCTAAAAGCCGCATGACACAATGACACTTTTACAATTCAAGGTTTAGTAGCTTGAATAATATTTTAGAAATTTTTTTTCTCATTCTAGGAGTTTTCCTGCAACATTTAACTTTAAACTAAAGTTTAGAGGGTATTTGGAACTACCAACAATCAGCTTGTAATCAGTTATCTGCTGTGGACTTACACCCTTGCTGGTTTGCCATCGCAGCCCCAGTAGTTGGACAGATGTGTCATATCAAAGAGGTAGGAGACTGGTTTTGTTTTCCTGTTAAACATCTTGTGGCTGTGCAGAGGAGATAGCATTGCCTGAACTACTTTTTGCTTTTTTTGTGTTTTTTATTTTAAATATTTGTAACAATTTAGGATAAGATGCATGCATAACCACTCCACCGTCTCCCTCCTTACCATGCTCTGTCATTAAAAGAGATGGGTGCTGTACCAGGAGGTGCATTCAGAGCCTTTTGAGAACCAGAGTAGAGGATATCGATATCTGGAAACACAATAAAAGACGGATTAAATCCCACACAGGCGCATCTGATGGTAGGAGAGGAAGTTGATCTTTCATCACCGCCTTACTTTGCTTGTCCATAAAGATTGGTGCCGCACCGAGTGAAGCGACTGTGTCGACCAGGAAAAGGCAGTCATGTCTGCGCGAGATGTAACAACGAGGAGTGAGAAATATGACACTATAATCTGTTATGCGCTGTTTTAGACTGATGTGGTGGGAGGCTCACTTTCTGCAGATGTCTCCAATGCCATCAACTGGGTGACACAGACCAGCAGAGGACTCCCCGTGTGTGAGGAAAAACAGGACAGGCTTGTGCTTTTTTATGGCCTACGGCGAGATGTGAAGACAAATTTAATCATGTGTGCATGGTGTAAGTGAATCTTAGTGATTTACCCAACTTAACCCTTACATACTGTTCAAATTTCATGCCTTCACAGATTTGTTTCAGCCACGCCAGGCCTTCCCTCATAATATACAAAATTTTAAAGTACAGCTCTATTTAGGATGTATCGATAGCCTGTCTGACATAAATAGATGATTAAACCTTAGTTAATGTTTCAGAAGTTTTATAGCACCCTTTTTTGTAGAAAAAACATCTACTATCACATAATATCATTTCTCTAAGGCATGAAGACACTAACAGCCATAATGATTTGAATATATTTTATTGAAAGTGACTATGGTAAGAACATCCTGAAATGCTAGGATTTCTTATACAACTCTTTATAACCATTACAACACTCATCACTGCTATATGATTAAAAAATCTCAATCACTACCATATATTATATAATAACAATGAATATTAACAATATTCATTTAACATTAATTAAAACTTTGAATACAAAATGTGCTTGTTGCAAACTAGTCTGTTTGTTCACAGCAGTGACAGGAGTGCGTGGGACCTGCACATGTGTTCACACACTCTCTGAAATGGCAGCTCAGGTGCCTTTATTATCTTATGACGCCCTTCAGGCCTATTTTGGTCTTGGTCTCTATTCTAATCTCACTTAGGGCAGAATAAATAGATTTTAATAATCATGGGTGGCATGCTTGCAGCTGTAAATGTAACCTATTTTCCATTATTTAGAGTTTGTCTTACTGTCCACTCAAAGTGCTTTGAACTGAAAGTTACACTTTAACTATTCATTATAACAAATACCTCATATACTTATGGCCAGTGTAGAATCACCAGTTAACCTAACATTGATGTCTTTGGACTGCAGGAGGATCCCAGAATACCCAGGAGACCATGCAACATGCACCCCAGCCAGGATTTAAACTAGGAATCTTTTTTCTGTGGGGCAACAGTGCTAACCACCCTATTTTAAATCTTGTGTCAAGGCACCATGTCTAAATTCACCCTCTGACCACTCTAGGTTTTTTTTTCCAATTGTGCACAAAATATCACTGAATACTGCAAAGCTTGTTTTTACTACTTCACTGTTTTGAGATCCCCTCCACGATCCTTCACAGACCAGCAGGACAATTCTGGTGACAGTGTCATGGTCAACCTTTAACTCTGTCACCACTGGCCCATACAAAAATACAGACAGACGTGTATTTTTTGTGTCTTTGTGCACACAGACATGAAACACACACACTTGGCAAGTACAGTTTCACAATTTCAAGATTCCCTAAAACCAATGTTTTCCTTTATTTGACCAACACTGACATTTTACAATACTCGCTTTAGGTATATTCATCAAATTTAGGGCAGAAAGAAAAGACTTGAACAATATGTAAGGATTAAAAATCTCACCTTTAGCGTCATGGGCTCGGGCGGATATTTTTATTTTATTTTACAGTAATAATTTCTCCTTCAACAATATCTTTAAATACCTGCTCAATTTCCGTATTGGTGAAATATCCTCCAGGCGTTTTTACCATTCTGTGTACATTGGCACCTACAGATAAAAACATATTCTCTGTAAGCTACTGAATAAATACATAAATTGGCTAATAGTTAAACAATCGGTATCAATGTAGTGTACTTATTAAGTGTGCGTAAACCTGTGCGTAAACGCTTACCCATCCTCTCTGCAATTTCTGCAACGCGCTCTCCCCAGATCCCGTTGATGGCTATGAGCACGCTCTCTCCGGGCTCCACCGTGTTGAATACCGCACACTCCATAGCCGCGTGCCCGGAGCCGCTCATAGCTATAGTCATGTTGTTCTCTGTCT